CTTGGGTCATTTCATACTTGTTAGTGATGAAATAGTTCAAGTTTCCAAGGTCAACCACTTCCCTTGATCAATCCATGATAGGAAGGAGGTTTTGTGAGTCTTTCATTGTCCATAACATGCTATGTTTTGTTCCAATTTAGGCGATCTCGGTCTATATTTGTATGCTGTGCGCATCACATAGTAACCTAGGCTAATAACCGGAATAAGAACTCACAATGGTTTTCAAAAATTGATATCATGGTTAGTAGAGGCCGGTCTCTGACCGGGCGAGCAGGGGTGCTCACGAAGTGACCTTCCCCAATCGTACCCTAGTTCCCGAGCCGAGGCAACTTTGGTGATGACGGACACGTGGCCTTAGGCAAACGAGTCAGGGTTTCCTAAATTTCCCATTAAAAAACATTTAGGTGGCGACTCTGTATCTGGCAAAGCAGTCCATGTTTGGCACTTCTTTTCAAAAATCTGTTTTTCTCAAAACGATTTGCCGGATTTGGACTCTTTGGTTCAGACTTAGAACCGTGACAAATTTGAGAGTCCGAGCTGTAGTGACCCCAATATGAACGGAACGGGAGCTCGTTCCTCCCGGGGGCGTTCGGGGACGTCTACAGCTGCATCAAGCCATGAATAGCTTCCGGAGAATTTCAAAGAACTCTTCAACTTCTGAATTGAAGAGTAAAAAATATAAAAAACTGAAAAAGGACACCATACTGTTGATGCTGGAGATTGAACAGAAGAGGAAAACGAAGAGTAAGAGCAAGAGGGCCAAACTCAATCACACCAGAAGTTCTTATTTTATTTTTATTTTTAATTTGAGTGTTTTGTGAGGCTTTATTTTATTTTATTATTCCCTTCTCTCTCTCCCTCGGATTTGTAATATTTAAAATGTTGTAATAATTCTCCATCCCTGCTTATTTCTATCCCATTCTTTAAACGCTTTCCCTAACTGTACATATGTATATATCTGACATGCCATGCATATCCATGCTTTGCATCCTTATTCATGCCTAGATCTGGCTAAATGTGCATCTTTGTGCTTGAATTGATTCTTACATGATTTTGTGCGCTATCGCATGTTTTGCAATGTTTCACATGTAATGTTTTAGAAGCCAGATCTTTAGAAGCATTCTTGTGTATGTATTGCATTAGGATTTTGTATATAAGATCAGGCGTGTTTTTACTAACTTTGTTTTGTAACTGTTCGCGGAATGTCAGTAAATATGTGAGTTTTTATACTTTAGCATCCCGCTTGTACATAATTTTCTTATTATGTTTAGCATCCTACCATGTGGCTATTTGCTTATGTGATACATCTTTATGAATGCCAGTGGATGAAGGCTTGTTGCTTGAATTAGAATGATTCAATGAATGTACGTTTAAACCCACTTTGTCAAATGGCAAATTCACAAGATTTAAGTTCACTTTGTTAAGTGGCAAAATCAAACCATTTTCGAAAAACAAACATGAAATTGAATTATTCCAATTCAGGCAAACCAGTCTATACTTGTATGCTTCACATAATAAATTTTAGGATTTATTAAACAATCAGAATATGAAAATATAAGAAAATAAAATTCATATCATGGTTAGTAAAAGTCGATCTTTTGATCGGGTGAGTGGGGGTACTCAATTAATGACATTCCCCCTTCATACCCAAGGTTCTGAGCCAAGCAATCCTTGGTTACAACGAACAGTGGCTTGGGCACGAGTCACAGGTTTTCTAATTTTCCCAAAATAAATATTAGGTGGCGACTCTGAGATCTGATGACGCAGTTCATTTTTGACAAAATTGCAATAAAATAGCTTTTCAATGAAAGTTGCCAAATCTAGACTCTCATCTATGTTTTACATTGCACTCGTGAGACTAGATCAAAGAGATTGAGGGTCCAAACTGTTTAACGCGCACGGGTACCCCCCAGGCATATTACAATAATCATAACTGTAAAATCAATTTCGGTTTATCGCGTCTCTAAGACTTTCAATTTCAGTCCAAAGGTTGCAATTTCAATAGATTTTTGTGATAATCGACAGATACAATTGATATATATGTAATTCACACATTGAAACATGGAATTTCACATTAACCACATAAACACATATATAATCACACATATAATGAGGGAATTATAGCATATGAGAGGATCGGGTTATTACAGTTTGAGAAGGACATAAATCAAAAAATCCGAGAGAAATAGAAGAAAAGACAACAAAATAAGGAAAAAATTTTGAGGATGAGGAGACAGCATCGCCAAAAAACAATAGGAAAGTATGTGAAGCCTCCACTGAAGGAAGGGGATGATTTGAACTTGATTGAGGTTGTAGCCAGGCTTTTGAGATAACATTGTTCTAATGGGGTATTACTGATTTTTGAGGAAAGTAGTCTCTAATTTGATGGTTCAATTCTTTTTTTTGGAAATTTACCCCTTCATTTTTTCATTCTTGTCAAAAAGGATGCCTAGGTTTGTATTTTGTATGTGAGGGCTTTCGTGTATCAGTTGTTGCATCCTTCATGGCAATTAGTGCTTGAAATGTATAGGATGCTTTTTCACTTCTCTAGCTAAGACATTAGGAACAAGTAGAGGCAGATAACTTTGTATCTCATGAACAGTGTTGTCTACCACAGTAATTTTGTGGATAAATGATATGTTACTCAATTTTGTGGATAAATCATATCTTACCTTTTTTTTTTTTGGATACATCAGAGGCTGTGTGAGAAAAAATTTGCCTATGATAAGACTCGAGCTCTTGACTTGTTAGTGAGATGTAATGGTTTTAGCCAATTGAACCACCTTCATGTAGTTAATGACATGTTACTTCATATGCTTGCTTTACAAAAGAATTATGTATCTCGAAAAAGTATTTTTGACATTCCACTCTCTTAGATGGATGTACAAAAGCCAAACACAAAACACACACAAGTTTATAAGATTTTACAAAATTTATCAAATTTTGTGATGGGTTTGTATGTTCCTCGACTATTCTTGTTGATATAAGTAGAAACAAGCACCTCATAAACACTACAATACCAATGTTGACTTTCAACAAAACCATGGAAGCAGTGGCTGCCCACCAAAAATCGTACTGAAGACTAGGTTCTCAGCCTAGTACACTATGGAAATACAAGTCGATGTTGATAATGTAACAAACAGCAAACCATATCAAACAGTTATCATATTTGACAAGTGTACTTGAATGAACTTTGTTGCGAAAAATCTCCATGAACATATATCAATCCTCAACAAACTAGTGACATATTCGCCCAACAAAAAAACAAACAAACAAACAAACAAAATAGTGACATAAATAATTGAAAGATGGTGGATTTGGTTTTTGAAAGGACATTATAAATTGAAACTCAACAAAAGATTATGAAATGGGAAACATGCCAATACAATTGCTTTTCAAAATTCTGCGCCTGTTGTCCCTCGGAACCTTGATTGAGAAGATAGTGATTAGGTCTCAAATTTCTCAACAAACTTACCCCACCGAGATCAAGGATGATAATTGAAGAGTAGAAGTGGAGGAACACACTACAAGGAAATAATCTCAGACCACATAGTACGATCCTATAGGGTAAGATCTTTAGGATCCTCAATTATCTTAGCTAGGGTTTGCAAGAATGAAGCCAGATCCGCACCATATATGACACGATGATCTGCAGTAACATTTACCTGTGGAAATTGCATTTCCTGGTGTAAGAATTCAATACATAATCCCTTCCCAAGGTTTTGCCAAAGGAAAAAAAAAAATTATAATAATATCACATCTGAAGTAAATTGTGGAACCAAGAAGAAAGAAAATACATGGAAATATATGTTACCTGCATCTGGTTTTTCATGCCAATCCGACCATCCTTGGTGGCAACGACAGTGGGCTGAGATGCTCCAACAGCCATTATTGCACCCTGAGAACATACGATACACATTATAGGGGTTAAATTCCAGACAGATACAATTCAGTCAAAAATTATCAGTAAAGTAATGCAGAATTGACAATCACATCCAAATTCAAACTTTGTCACTTACAGTTCCTGGAGGCAAGATGGCATCAAAGCGGTCCACACCAAACATACCAAGGTTGGAAAGAGTAAAAGTGCCTACAACACCAAAACAACCACAATTAGTAAGCATATAACACAGTTATTTTCTAAGAAAGTTGAGTGGGGACGATGTATGTAACTTCTGGTACAGGATGATCATAGAATAACATCATCAGAAAGGAAGCAGAGCATTACTACATGTTTCTTGAGATGATAATCATAAATTACCTACACCCTATAAGATAATCATAAAACATCATATTGATTGCTTATTAACAATTAATCACAGCAAACAGCACTCAATAAATTGTTTAATCATCCAGGTATATATTTATTGCACATCAAGAAACAGCAAGAAATTCCTCCTGTTTCGTACTTAGTAATTTATCTTTTGTACATTCAGTCTTACAGAAAAAAGAGGAGGATTGTGGTAGGTCGACAGCCAACATAAAATTTAGGTTGTGTTTCATTATGGTATTTTGTTAAGGGAAAATAAATAAATAATTCCATTTTAAGAAGCATGGACACACCAGATTCCATGCCGTTGGGGTGTCTGACACGGGAACACGTCGGGGACACGGGGACACGCCGGGGACACGTACTGGACACGCTAGGTGGCATGTCCCTTTAATTTAATTATTTTTTTACAGGGGACACGGCGGGGACACGCGTGTCCACCAAATCTGGACACGCGTGTCCAAATCTAGACACAAAGAGCAAAAGAGAAGGAGAAGATCAAGGTCAAGAGACAGTCGGTTCAGGCTTATCCAGTCGAAGACCTACCTCCATCAGTCGATTTAAACCAATTGATCCACCACCTCCATCCAGTCGATCGAAGACCCTTGACCCCCATCAAGTCGATCGAAGGTAAGCCCCTCTCTCTCAATCGATCAGTCGATCTCCATCAGTCGATCAGTCGTCTTCCATCCAGACGACTTCGAAGGTAAGCTCTCTCTCTCTCTCGCTCTCGCTCTTTCTTTCTCTTCGATCGTCTCTGTTCAATCATCTCTGTCCTCTCTCTCTCTCTCTCT